AGTATGGTGCTGTAACAGTATGTAAAACTCATTATATACAGATCCAGGCAGTGTGGTGCTGTATCTATATGTACAGTACAGTCATCGTATACAGATCCAGGCAGTATGGTGATGTAACAGTCTGTACAACTCATTATATACAGATCCAGATTGTATGGTGCTTTAACAATCTGTACAACTCATCATGCGCACATCCAGACTGGATGGTGCTGTAGTAGTATGGCCAACTCATCACACGCAGAAACAGACTTTGCAGTCCCGATAATTGGGTCACGTTCATTCTGCTCTAGTTGCCTGATGGTGCTGTGTGGCCCAGGGGCCGATGGGATTCCTGGCAGTGGTGATCGGGTCCTTGCTGTGTCTATGGCACTGGTGTCGCCCTCAGCCTCCCTCCCCCCAGGGGTCTGCTCTGTGAGCACGCATTGTTAAAGACCGCTGTCTACACCAGCACTTTATTCACAGCACACAGACCTCCAACCACCAGAACAAAGCTCCTCTTTAAAAAAAAAATAAAAACAAAGACATTTCTTTGGCTTATTTTTGTCATGTTTTTTTTTCTTGTTGGATCACTCGGCCTAAGAGACTGCAGGCAGACTGAGTGGGAGTGAAGAAGCACACTGTAGCGATCTTCCTCAGCAGCCAAAAGCAACAAAAACTCTCAAGTGAAGCTTCCGAAAGATAGCGGAGCAATTCCATTCTGTAATGTATGTACAAATTAGATTCTTTCTCTCCTTTTTTTTCCCAAATAAAAACAGATGGCCCATGAACGTTCTTGTTTGTAGACATTATGCTTTTTTGTCTTTAGTGTTCTAATTCCAAGCAGGAATTTAAAGCAAAATGGAAGCACAGGACTAGTGTATTAAATCACAGAGAATTAAGAAATGAAGCCCTAATTATCCAAACTCTTTCACTTAACTGTGCCTGAAAACCACCCGTCTTTTTTTGGAAGAACATCATTGTACTGCCTAATTCTCAGGAAAAAAACGATTGCATCAGGTTTATTTCCTTAATGACACAGGACAGTCTGTCCAGCTGGAGGTCATTACTGCAGAAAAAAATAAGCAAATGAATAAACAGGCCCAGTGGTCTATAATCTCTGGCTTTCACCCTTACCTGGCATTTAAAGTCAGCAGCAGAACATCTGACAGAACAGTGTTTTTGATCCAGTGCAGAAATTGTTTCCTTTTGATGTCTAAATGCAGTCTAACTAAAATTCCATATTCGTTCTTAACTATAAAAGGGGAGGGTTCTAGAGAGCTGGTGTTATAATCACCTGAATCAGCTCGTTATTGGCTTCACTGGATTGGTTTAACAGCTTGTTCCAGCTCTTCAGTGCTGCAGCTTGGAAGACACCTGGGAAACCTGCAGACACCCCAACCTCCCCTGCACCAGATTTGGGCACCCCCTGCTTTATGATGAAGAACTGCAGTTTTGCACGGAAGCAAAAGCAAATTGAAGCTGGGTGTGCAAACGATCGACACCCCCCATGCTGTGTGATCACTCCAGCACTGTTTATGTTCGGACAGAGATCCTACCGGTTGTCACCAGGCCAAGAGCTTGTCACAGTCACATACACGTGAAATCCATCAAGTGTCTGCACTGCATAGCTCTTGATCGCTTACAACCTAATTCTCCAGACGTGCAGTTTGTAAGGGACAGGTGGGTCTGGGCTGACAAACCCTGCTACCTTTATAGTTATGTGTGCGCCAATGTCTTTTCTCAATAAATTTAAAACTTGGAAAACAGCAGTGATTTGCTCCTCTCCTGCCTGGCCTTATGCACATTATGTAAGGAACCAATCACTAATCAATAACGAATGATTGCACGAACATGTGAATTAAACCGTACAAACCCCCGCTCGTGCCTGGAAAACGTGGAAGCAGACACACATCGTCCTCCCTAGTACATACTGTATGGGCCTCGGCAGCAATGGTGACATCAAGAGCCTAAAACGAGTCAAGGTTTTTTGGTTCCAGCTGAAGGACAGTCCCTGCTGGCCAGGTTGATAGAACAGGCCTTTGATCTTGGCTTTCTGGGAGCTTCAAACGCAAGCTGACTTCAAGAACGGTACGAATTCAATTCCGCCACACACAACAGCTAATAGAAACTGGCAGACCCAGTGTACCGTTAGTTAAGGGGCAAAACCAAAACCGTTTCCTGCCCAGCTTCCCAGTTCTTCCCTGGGTTTCGGACCTGGAGTGCTGTCTGTGTGGAGTTTGTATGTTCTCTTCACATTCGTGAGGGTTTCCTCCAGAGTTTCCTCTCACAGTCCAAAGATGTGCTGGTAGGTTAATTAACCTCTGGGAAAACCGGCCCTGGTGTGAGTGTGTGTGTCTGTGTGCACTGTGATGGACTGGTGACCCATCTAGAGTTGTACCCTGCCTGGTGCTTACTGGGATAGGCTCTGGCTCCCCTGTGACCCTCAACTGGAAGAAATGGGATGGATGGAGGTAACCGACAGCTACGGTGCTCCAGCCTCTCTGCTGTGCAACAGAGACGGGAGTGGAGCCGTTTCCCAGTCTGTGTCACCACGACCGCAGGCCCCTGTGGGTGAGGGTGCGGACGCGGGGACTATCCTTCATTCAGCCGTCCTACAGAGCAGTCGGAAATTCCACACGGCTCATCGCTACGCAACTCGTGTGCGAGATTCACAGCGGACGTCCCGTTGACACAACAGATCCACCTGTAGCGCGTCTCTTCAATAAGGTGGTGCTGCACCTGCTCCAAAATAGAGGGTCAATCTCAGTCTGTGGGAATCTGTTACGATTATAAGGGACTCTCTCTGATGCACCCGAATGTGAGGGAGGAGGTGCAGGCTTCCACAAATGGCCTACAGCACCCACGAGGGGGCCCACAAACGACCAGGTGCACAGTTCAGAGCCTGCCGAGAGCCGAGCCGGAGATGCCCAGCGGGGAAGACGATGACTGCACGTAAGAAGCTGTATTCTCTCTTTCTGGGGGCCACCTGCTGCAGAGAAACAGCTCTGTTGACTGTTCCTCGCGGGCCCGTGCTTACAGGGACACCCCCAGCAGCAGTCTGCATCCCACCAGCAGCGGGGGAGGATCCCTCATTTCCACACTACCGCTGTTCTGCCATTGGGATCTAGTTCCCGGACTTCGATGGGCCTGGACCTCTAGAGCTACAGCACGCAGGGAGGGGAGCGAGAGAAGCAGGAGAAGGCAGCCCGTGCCGTGGAGAGCAAGAGAGCTCACCGGCGGCTGAGTAGGAGGCAGACTGGGGCAACCGCGACGGTAAATTAAACACAACAAGGGGTGAAGATGCTGCTGGCCGTTTGCGCACAAGGGCCCAGGTTCGAGCACTCTCTGGAAACAAACTGCCAGTGACGGGATATATGGCGGCTGGAGACCCAGGCCAGACAGCCCGACTACCGGCTCACGCAGGGGGCGACGTACAGCTTCCAGACAATGTAGGGAAGTAATTAAAAAGGCAAATGGTTAGTTAGGATATACAGTTAATAGCACAGAATTTAAAGGATGTGTAAGAATTGTGCAATGCACTAATTAAGCCTCATTGTGAGCATTGTCTGCAATTTTGGTCACCATGGTGTAGAAAAGATATCGATGTTATGGCACCCGTCCAGAGAAGAGCGACCAGATGCACCGTGGGACTTAAGGGCAAGTCCTCCACTAACCGGCTGAAAGAACTGAATCTCAAACTACCCGGGGACCTCGTGCAAGTACTCCACATCCTCAAAGTCAACCCAGTGGACTTCAAAGACGACACAAACAGGAATGATGTGGAAGTGCGTTTCAAACACAGAGAAGAGAAAACACTTCCTTTATGCAAAGAGTGGTGGGAGTGTTGAACAGGATTCCCCGCCGTGGACCTGAATCCGATACCTTGGGTTCTTTCAGGCAAAAGGCGGGCAAGATCCAATTAGTTACCAAGGCCACAAACAGGCCAGATGGATCAAACGGCCTCTCATCAGTCACGTTTCTTGATGAAGCACCAGCCCAGACGCACGCACTGGCGCAAACGTCAAAAACTGTTCAACGGGACCCGGAGAGACCCCGAAAACAGGAGGCGTGCAAGCAGACTCCCTTGGGATCCCCCCCAAGAAATCTGTTGGAAGAAAGTTGTTGGATCAATTGGGCACCAGTCATCAGGCAAGGAACCTTGGCTTCTGAAGAAGCCTTCTTCAGCTGAAGAAGGCTCCACGAAGAAGACACCTGAAGAAAGCTCCACGGCCGAAACGTTGTATTCTCTTTCTTCTTTTTTTCAGCATGGAATAAACCTATTACTTGTTCCTTTGCAGCCTACACATGCTGACGCAGCCACCCACCTGAACTATCAGGCAAGGAAGCTTAGTAAGGGTCTCCTCTTACCACTAGCTTGAAGAGACCCATTGCCTTCATCGTTTTGCTCACTTTTAGTTGTCTGGAAGGTCATAAGATATCATGTTCACGATAGGCCAACGGGTCTACTTTTATGGAAACGACGTCCCTAATCAGACCAACCTCGTTCTACGCCGTAGCCATCAAGGGTGAACACACCTTTGGGAAAATACACAACCAGCCAAAAACAGAACTGTACAGGATCCAATGGGCCACAACTTTCTGCATCCAAATACAGTCTAAGTAACATGCATCCATGTTAAAGTCTCCATATCTTAAAAACAATGCAAACAAGCCACTCCGTACCGATTTTACGTAAAAAATAACCAGATCCGCACCATAATGAGGAAAATTCCAAGGATTATTTTTATTAAGAGACATCCAGAACTCACTGCTTAAAAGTGGGATAACACAGACACCTGCATATTTCAATAGATGTTCAATTTCTTTTTTAAAAAACTTTTATACCATGATTTAAAAAAAAATCCTGCATAATATTATGTCGCCTCCTACAAGTTATTTTCTTAATCTCGTTTTATCAAAATAATTTTCAACATGGTTTTTTAAAAAAAGTCAGCCCACTGTCATAAATCAGCCTGGAATGTTTTCAGTTGTACTTATTCCTCTTTCTTACAAACATCCACTTAAAAAGGAGAGAACACAAAAAAAAAAACAAAAAAAAAACAAAGAAACTCACTGCACATATAGAGGATATAACTGGCCAATGTGGTCAGGCCGTGTGAAAAGGGAAGTAAGAATAATTCACTCACATTTTGTCCCTACGAGCAGGTACTCCCTCCCTACACCGAACAAGCTATTAATCACAAAACATCGTTAAAAAAAATCCTGTACTGTTTTTCTTTTTGTCATGTTTACAGACACGATATGACTGCGCAGAACTGCAAGATCTTCCATAATTAGCCATTTGTGCTAAAAACCTGTACCGATATTTTATAAAATTGTTGATAAAAATATTCCTCTGTTAACAATACGTCATGGAGGTTTTCTGGGGGTACCACACAACAGATCTGGGGGGGGGAGGGGGAGGGGGAGGAGGGCAGTGTTGCTATTCGGACTTGGCTTCTTTCTCCTCGGAATCTTCGGGAGTCTGCACCTGTGGAACGGGAAGAACAGGGAGAACGAGGGTCAGGACAGCGGGGAAGCAGAGGGCCTCCCGAACCGGCTTCATTCCAGCTCCGCCCTCACCCCCTTTCCGGCGCAGAGGGGCTAGAGAGACCCACACACCCTACTGGCCTTCGTGACACACGGCTTCCAGGTCTCCAGAGCTCCCTGGAGCTTCTGGGACTCTTGAACTGGGAGCAGAGCGCTGGCCTAAAGACGCTCCTCGCACACCACCGTGACCGCAGGTCTTCGCCTACAGCAGAAGCCCGTTCGGAGAACATGCTCATAATGGCGTGCTAATGGTGGCCACCGCTGGGAGATTCACCCAGGCCACGCGAACTGCCTGTCGCAAGGACAGTTTGAACCCGAAACCCACTCTCCACCCCCAGAGAGTTAGAACATCAAGATTCAAGAATGTCCCCCCTCTTGTCCGTAACCTTCCAGTCTATTGACTGGTGTCCAGCTCCAGTGTCCTGGCCAAACTTCCCCCTGGCCCTTACCAATCACGGCCTCCTAATAGCCCCCATCTCTGAACTGGCTTCATCACTCTGCTCTCCTCCCCGCTGAGAGCTGGTGTGTGGGGAGAGTACTGGTGCTGCTCACAGGTGGGCCTGCACACTGGTGGTGATGGAGGAGAGTCCCCATTACCCGTAAAGCGCTTTGAGTGGAGTGTCCAGAGTGTTATAAGAGTGTTATAAGAGTGTAAGGATTATTATTTAGCTCATTTGGTTGCCAGTAGCTAACTGATCCAAGCGGATTCTCACCTAGCTGCTGCTTGCAAGAAGCCAGGATATCGGCTTCCACAGCACGGCTGCGCAGCCTGCTCCACACTCCCACCACCCTTTGCGTAATACATCTAACCCAAAGCTCCCTCGCCCTCCTGGGAGGGTCAGGAGACATTCAGGCACGACACAGAGAGACCTCTCCCCCGCCCCGCCCCTCCATACCTCGTTGGGTTTGGCGTCTCCGTTTTCGGAGTGATTCTCCTCGTTCGCCTCTCCCTCCGCCTTCCCTCCCTTCTTTCCCTTGGGCTTCTTGTCCTCCTTCTTGTCGTTCACTGCCTTCTCTTTCTGTGAAGCGAAGAGACCCCGTGAGGACAGACGCTATGGGGGGGGTGGGGTGGGGTTGGGACTCTTCCACAATCCCACCACCCAGAGTCTTCAGAGCCCGTTCTCCACTGGGGAACTGTGGTTCCTGGCCTGCAAGACCTCCTCCTTCCAGAGGCTAACGGCCGAGCTAAACAGGACATACTCCTGGAGGCACAACAGCATGCCGGACCAGGGGTCCCAATCACAGTACTGGGGGACACACCTGCACACCTGCTGTGACTGCAGCTGAACTCTCCACCTAGATCCTTAACTGAATCGACAGGTAGCTTGGCTGGGCCTTTGCAAGTGTATTTTTTTATTATTTTTTTTTGCTCGGAGGAGAGACGGACATCTTAACCTCCTACACGTTTAGGACCAGGAAGCAGGTCTGCGTTCGTCAGGGATTCGGTTAAACGAGCACTCGGGAGGAGCCCACCCGGCACTCGGACTGAGGGGGCCCCTACTACACACGCCTCCTCTGCAGACACACAGACACGGCACGTTACCTTGGCTGGCTTCTTGGGTTTTGGTTCAGGTTTGGGAGGTGCTGGTTTCTGCAACAGGAAAAGCAGAATGAGCGCACGAAGGTCACCCTCCCCTTTGGGTACTTCTACCGTTCCCGTAACGCAGCAGAACAAACCTACTGCAAAAACGCCATCGTTCTGAACCGAGGGGCAGAAGGCAGTCGTCGTCTGCTGCTGCTGCTGCTACATCCCCGGCCCTTTCAGAGCGCCGCCCTGGTGGCGGGCCGAGCCAGCAGCGATTCCCGAAAGACAGGTGGAAGGAAGGAAGGGTACGACACTTACCGCCGATAACCTCGCGGATCTCCTCTGGGGCTGCAAAGAAAAAAAACAAGGGGTCGTCAGTCGGGATCGGCCGCATGCGCTTTTGCAATTCAAATTCCAAGCAGCGCAGCCAGAGGAACCGGACGGGAGCCAGTCGACTTTCCCCGGGAATTTTAATGCATTAAAAGAAGCAGCAGTTCCACCAGGGAGCTGCGTCGGCACGCGCAGGCTGCAAAGGAACAGGTGAAGGTTTATTCCACCCCGAAGAAGGCTCCACAGCAGAAATGCTGCGTTTCTTTCCCGCTCTTTCCAGCATGCGATAAACCTTGACCTGATCCCGCAAGAAGAACAAGCCCGTCAGGTGGAGAAACACCGACTGTCTGTTGAAACCTGGGAACTGATCCGACATTTATCTCAGTCGGATTTCCGCACAAGGCTCTTCCTTGAGACAGGTCTCAAAGGTCCGGCTCTGTGCTGTTCTCCTGCAGGCTCACGGGCTCTGCAGTAGCACAGCGTCCCTCTCCGTTCCACACTGCACAGGCCCGGAAACCAGACCCACTGAATGAACCTGTACTGCCCCCAGGGGGGACGCGTCTTGCAGGTCAAGAGCTCGTACCGGAACGCCCATGACAATATAACAACACCGCGCCGCTCACTCGGAGCGCGATCGAGCAGCACACGGTCAAGAAGTGTGAAATCGAGCGTACCTCCTCCTTCGCCTCCCCTTCGGATCCTTGTTGCTGGAAAAATGAGAGAGAGAGAGAGAGAGGGGGGGGTTAACTGAGAGAGAGGCACCGGCTGGTAGCTCAGAAAGAGCAGCCGGGACCAGCCGAAGGCCCGACAGGACCAAACCTGTGGTACCAGCTCGGGTAGTTAGGTGGGGGGGTGGCAAGCCCAGGGCCACACCCAGGAAGATCCCAGGGTAACATGGAAACAGTGCACGGGCCTGAAACTGCGATCAGACTCTTCCCCACACTCAGCTTCATGAAGGAGGGTGCTGTCCCCCACCCTGCAGTCAGAAGCTTCAGAAGAATGACTCGCTGTGGCCGTACCGCTCACAGAAGAAGACCAGAATGGGTGTATCATTACAAAACCACCTTGTGAGCTCGGTGCACTATATCCTGAAGTCGGGGGTTAAATGCTTGTTAAACTGTTGCATTTCCACTTTTTTTTTTTTAGAAAACCACCGCAGTTGACTTCAACGGGTGAACTTCGGCTCTCCGTCGCTGGCTGCAACTTTTTTTCCCCCAAGCCAGGAAAGAGGACGATCACGATCACAATCAAAATACAAAAAAGAAACGCCTCCTTATAAGGATCCCGCCAATAACTGCGCTCGAGTTTTGCAACGAACACAAAACACGCCCCCACCCTCCCCGTCACCCACCGGAGCGTTTCAGCGCCTCTCTGCGAGCTATCGATCAGAAGCAGCAGAGGGGGAAATTATGGGATGAGGTTAACCACCCCCTCCCCCATAACGCCCGTCTACACCGATGCAAACGCTTGCCGTATCTATTAAAGACCCTGGCGCTCTCCCGAACTGCTCAGATGCGCACCAATTCGACTAGGGGAGGGGGAGGGGGGGGTCCGGACTCGCTGCCGGAGACGCGCAGCGCAGCAGGCACGCGAGGCCGCCAATGGCGCGCGCGCGCGCGCGCGAGACGGAACAAAGGCAAGGCGATCGCCGCGCGCAGACGACGGTGGCGCCCGGAGCGCGGCTGCCACCCCTGCCCTGCCCCCACCGCGCGCGCACCTCCCTCCCCTCCTCCACCTCCGAGCGTCCGCCGTCAAAAGCGCCGGGGGGAGGGGGGGCGGGGGTTGCGTGGAGACGGAGGGGAGGGGAGGACGGGAAAAAAAAAAAATCACCGCTGCGCCATCTGGTGGCGGCGAGGCGCAACAGCAGCCATCTGGCGCCGCGAACAAAGAAAAAAAACAATAAAATTCAATCTTTAGGAGCCATTGAAAGGCGTTCGTGGTTGACGGGTATAAAACCAGAGCCCCCGACGGGTTTTCCCCCGACCCCTCCGGTGCCCGCGGACGGGGCGACGCGACTAAGAAAAGGCGGTTTTGCGCGTCTTCTCCCTCAGCCCTCCCGGGCGCCCGTCCGAGCCGGAGCCGCAGATAGCATGGCTGCTTGTGCTTTAAAACAGCATGGAGACCAGCTCACTCCGGGCGCTCCAAGACGAGCAGCCCGCCGCGCCAGGCGAGCGGGCTGCGAGCGTTACAACCGCACGCACACACGCACACAGAAAAACAACTACCATTTAAAAAAAAAAAACAAAAAAAAAACCGCAAACCGAACCAAATCCCCTGCCCCCGGTTTTTTTTTTTGTACAAATCCCCGCCTCCCACCAACGGCGAATTTTGCAATTAAATCAAACGTACTCGGAAAAGCTCCATAATAACACGGTTCTGATTTCAGCAGAGATATATATATATAAAAAAGGAGTCTATCCGCATTTTCTAAACTACATACCTTTCTCTTGGGCATGGTTGTGTCCTGAATGGCTTCTTAAAAATTAAAACTAAGAACCTCTGTTTTTACTCAAGAGTTCGCAGCATGTAAACGACAAATGTCCCCCTTTTTACTAAATACTGTAGTAAACACACGGCAACATTAAGACCCAACGGTTGAATGGGGGGGAGGGGCGTGGCTCGGCCGTGATTGATGGGGCGGCGGCCAATCAGGAGGCGGCGCCGCGAGCCGCAGCAGAGCAGGAATTCCAGGGCCGGGAATTTTTTTTACGCGCGAAATGCTCAATTGAAAGAGGGGTGGGAGTTGTTAGCAATGATATAAGAGTTCGAGTTATCACGTTTATTTTTTTTTTGGTTTTATTAAAAAAAAATAAAAAAATAACCGTTTGGCTTCTGGTTTTTTTTTTAAGTAAGGGTTTAGGAAGGGTGGCGGTGGGAGAAGGCTTCTTAATTCGTGTTGTTTTGTTTTTTTATCCCTTTGTTGTGAAAGGCGGACAGTACACAGTCACTTGATCATATTTCCATATTCATTTTTTTAAAACAAAACGAGAAATTATATCAATTCAGCCAGGGGGTTCTAGGGTTGTCTTAGATCAACATGGCGCCCTAGCCTGCTTGACACATTTTTTCTGTTTGGCGACTTAACCAAATTCCGCTGTAGAGGAAACCTTACCAGCGGCTTTTTGAGACGGCGCTTGTGATTGGCTCCCGGCTGGCCTTACCTACTGCTAGGTAATGTGATCTGCGTCGTGATTGGATGCGGTGTTCAACGTCTCCCCCGAGCGGCCGTGCCGCGTCACTACAGTACAGTGTGCTTAAGGAGATTATCCTGTTTGGTTTCGAAAATGGTAGTTCAACTTTTGTTTTAAAAAAATACACTCTAAACAGACTTTTTTTCCCTTCATAAACCCAGAAAAGGCGAAATGACCGAATCGCTTTCTACCGCGGAATTCTTTTATTTTAAATCTAGCAATATTTCATTTACCCGCGGGTTTTATTCAATGGCTAGACAGCGGTCAGTCAACAGGGCCCCGTGTTGTTTTTATCAGAGAAAAAGAAAAAAAAAATCTCGTGCAAAAAAACAACAGGGAACATAAAAAGCTCATAACAGTCATAACTTCCTTACTGCAAAGAACAGCGCATGTGATACTTTTGAGGAACCTACACCAGCAACAGTTTCCTGCAGAACCTCCGCCAGGCTTAATCCCTTCGTGTTAGAAAGGAACGGGAGTTAAGTTTTCTTTTGGAAACACGTTTCGTTCTAAGAAACCCCGTGGCTGGTGATAATGGCGATGGATCTCTGTCATAGTCAATCCTGAAAAGGCGTCGCCACATACAGTTGTGAAGGGGAGGGTAGAAAACCTGCATGCCTTCCCATCACAACAATGCCCTGCAAAGCTCTGTTAGCGTGCATGAGAACGGGAAAGCTCGGAGGAAAAATAAAAACCGCTGTATGTATGCAAACGTCAACCCTCCCAAATCTCGTATCTTGGCGTTTTCCATGATGTTTGGGGCGCATGATTTTGTGTGGCACTACTTAAGAGCATTTTCACGTCTCGTCTCAAAAGCCATTTCGCAGAAACTGCACGTATCTCCTCGAATGTCGATTTCCTATACGGCCCGCAGGGGGCGCCAGAGTACTTCCATTACAGCACCACTGCGTGGACAAGATCCAGCACCAGTCGACACCGCTGATCCTGAGATATTTCTGGTTAAAAACTGGTTTAATCTTTCACTGCCTGTCTTATCTCTTAACAAGCAATGGCAACTGAAACAACCTAAAACTAAACAAAGGCACGTCTTTTGTTATCTGGTCCCTGTGATTCTAGTTTTGTCTGTTTCTGAGTTAACTGAATCCAACGCTGACCTCATAATTTAATCAATTTGAACTTTTCCATTGCCTTTGGCTCCAGATTAGTTTATGTAACATTTAACAGCTGAAGAACTGAAAAAGAAAATCAATGACAGGCTGCAGCCACACTGTGGCGCACAGCGCTGTAGTCATTTTGGGGTTAATGAAAATAAATGACGATTTAAATTTAAACAACTGACGTGTAACACGGGAGACTTGAACAGGTTTCAATTCAACTTTATTGTCATTAAACTTACACAGGTGCCTAGTATAATGAAAAGTGTTTCTCATTAGTCACTCAGGTGCATTATATAAATAGGACAGAATATAAGACAATAGACCGTAACACAATAGCAAAAACAGTAACATGTAATAACATAACATAAATAACATCTAATCAAGTAATCAAAACTGTGTAAAATGAGTGACAGGTACAGTTATATCAATAATAAAAATGTTGGACGATGGCAGGGGTGTACATCCCTGCTCCCAGAAAGTTGGGTGTCGGAAATGTTCCGGGTCTCTTTAAAGCAGCAGCACCTGAAGAGCAGGAGAACCTGTGAAACTGGTCTAGCTGAGTCCACAACCAGCTGCTGGTGGTCATTCTGGAACCTGCAGACACGGCGCCCCCTGCAGGACCAGAATGGAGTCTGAATGGTCACAATAGCCCCAAACCCCCGCACAGCCCTTGCACATGAGGTTGATCATATTATATAGTATACACTGTATGTACTGTATGGATTATAAAAATGCCTGCACAAAAACTGAGAAAACTACACGTCTCCGCCTAGCTGTGTTTATACACATCGTGCAACAAAATGGTGCACGTGGTTGGGTATGATATCCGACTGAGTCAGCCTGCACTAATAAGCTGACACATTGAGTCTGTTCTAGTAATTCACGTGCAAACAGGAGCAATGTTTGCAGAGGAATCCTACTCCGCTGGGCCCCTGAGCAAGGCCCTTAACCCCAGCTGCTCCAGGGGTGCCGTATAAATAGCTGACCCTGCGCTCTGACCCCCAGCTTCTCTCCCTGTCTGTGTGTCTCATGGAGAGCAAGCTGGGGTCTGCGGAAAAGACAAATTCCCGATGCAATAAATTGTATATGGCCAATAAAGTGATCTTTAACAAACAGAGAGGCGTGAGTGTGGAGCAGTGTCAGAGTGCAGGCAGCAGACGAACAAGTAGGTGGCAGCAGTAGCTCGTCCCGTAGCCTCCAGACATTTTTAAAGCAAGGACAAGTATTTACAATTAAACAACAAGGCCGTGACGTGTAAAAAAGCAGGCAGAGGTGAATTCCACGCCAAAAAGTGAGAATAATTGATGAAGAGAACTGGGAACCATCTAGTCCCCCAGAACTGGAGGGCACCCGACTGACTCTACACTGAAAAGGAGAAAAAACAACAACGTTTTAGCTGTTAAGTCTCTTCAGGTGTGAGGTGTGTTTCATTCACTTCCACTTTTCAGCATTGAACTAACCTCTGCTTGTTCTTTTTCAAATCAGTCTTCTTGTTAATCTGAAATC